CTTATTATTAAGTACTAAAGTTTTCAAATAGATGCTAGAAGTATTAGGCGAATTGGTTTAATAGCCAAGTCGCAACAAATAGAGGTCCTGACGTACTTTAGTGCGCTAACGCCATCAATTTAAAGTGTCAACTGCTCTTCAATCTGTTTTCAAGGGTCTATGCTCTTAAAACGTGAAAATGTGATACTACAAATACACAATCGGTGACCAATAGCATTTTTGCGGGTCCTATGATCTTTAAACTTTAAAGTCACACTTCATACTCAAATAAAGACTTCCTACTAATATTTTAATTAAACTGGAACGGTAGCCGAAGTCGGGCCAGCTAGCGGTTGAAAGAGAAAATCTGAGGCAGTACAAATCCTTTTTCTTTTTGTGACATGTCGTTTGCTGTTAGCCCTGCCATTATTTACTACTAGAACAATTTGTTTACAAGATTTGTTTGACTAACAAATCTTTTAAAATTGTATAATTGTTGTTAAAATTGTCATCAAAAATAAAATTGTCATCTAAATAATCAAAAACAATTCATTCATGAAAACATCGTATACGAAATATAAGGTCGAGGATACTGGCGTCTATACACTCGTCATTAAATTAAAATGATGACAGAATATTTTATTGAGGTTGTCTAACTAAATCAAGATGTGTAAAAAAAAGTATACGTGATACTTCTAAAAGTTGTCTAAAGATTAAACCTTCAAGTTTAGTTAACTTTTACCAGATAGTAAAAACGCACAGCGATCGCCAAATGGTTTCGAATTAAGTTCATCGGCCATTGTTTCTATCGCTGTATTTACATTGTACAATAATTCAGCATTAAAAATAATTTACGGCCGGTATTTAAATATCACCACGGGCTTATGAAAATTGACACTTAAATTTTCTCTTACGAGAAAAATTGAGTGCTTTTGCTGAACACTATAATCACATTATCCACGCATCTATATCTGATGTAAGAAATATAGGAAAAAATAATTTCAGAATAAATTAATGTCATTTGTATCAGTAATACCGAAGCATTCAAAAGTTTCCGTTAGTAAATTTATACAAGATTTAGCCCGTATTGGCTTGGTTAGACTAATTAAAATAAGGAAATTTTCTACATGAATATATTATAATCAAACATATGATAATATATTTTGTCTATTTTAGGTCATAGATTATGTAGCTAGGGGCAGATAAATACATAATTAGAAACATTTCTGTAGTTCTAAGTATAACCCATTAGATGCAGACGATCTTATAAATGTAAACTCTGTAATAGTGGTATAGATTGTAATATGTTGTCTGTTAGTAGATTAATATGGTCGTAGTGAAAAGTAACCTGTCATTTACGGGGATGCATTAGGCGTCAATTGTTCTCTATAAAGCCACGTACAAATGTTTATGTTAATGCTTTATTGTATTGCATAATTATTTATTTATTTCGGACATGAATTATTTATACTTAGACATAACTCTAAAGTTGGGTGACTCATGAGAGGTTTTATGCGAAGCGATTTGTTAAATTTAAAGTTAGTTTTTTTTTAGGTTCAATTTTATTGTTTTGATGGGTGAGCTTAATGTAAACTGATTATTGGAGTGTCGATATTGTCATTTCAAAAGATCGAATATTGGAAAAAAAACCGTTTTTGTAGTAAACAAAAAAAAACTTCTAATACGATGCAAATGTATATTATAATCAATTTTTATAACACATTTATTGACTTGTAAGATTTCTGTATTCAAAGATAATATACTAATAAAACTTATTCGATTTCTTGACTTAATTTGTCACTAGGCGTTATATCTCTCAAAATCTATCACCTACCTTTATTTTTATTCCTCTCTAACTTTCCTTTAAGACAACCGACTAAATTACGTCCACCGATGACAAAGATTTGATCATTGACGTATATGAGGATATTGTATTCATCTGGATATTAATTTGCTCGAAATCGTTCACTGTTCTATGATAGGACCACGGAACAGTCAGAAGATTGGGCAGGTCCGTCTGACCTGCCCAATCTAACAACAGAGAAGAATGTTGCTTGGCCCTACCACAGCTAAAGCTTAAAGCCAAACAAAGCTAAAGTTTCACCAAAAGTTAAGCGTTGATAAGTAGTTAGAAATACTAGAGAAACTATTCAGTGCAGCTATGGAGCGGGCCATGCTCGAGATTTCTCTCTGTGATAGATTTCACAATGCTGATATGCTCAGTATAACAAGATAAACGTCTCAGGAGATTGGTGACCAAGCCGCCATCGGCCATATAGCTCGTAGAATAGAAAACTAGTAGAATATAGCTAGTAGAACCGATGAGAGGGAACGGTTCTCGTGTGCCTGTCTCATATTAGCCTGTGCAAATGTGCGGGAAGTCGATTGATGCAGGTGGCTCATCCTGGGTGCTTAGTGACAATCTGTGGGGAGAACCTGTCGCCCGATTTCTGAAACACTGATCATCGTAGATGTCAACTAATCAGCTGCATAATGGCTTTTCAAATTTCATTTTAGTTGCCAAAGGATGGTCAAACTCTAAATTGACCGGAATGATCTTCTTAATGATCCGAATGCTGAGGGTGATCTCAGGTTGCTAGAGTATATTGAATTAAAGGCGAGCGCCCGGACACTAAGCTATCACGGCTCATTTCCGATCATTTTATAAGACGACAGATAACCAAAAGTAGACATGCCAGTTTGCAGTAACTGTCCTTCCATCTTTCAGCACAACTGTCGCGAATTACCTTCCCGACATAAGAAGCAATTATATATTTTTCTTTACTTCTTCCTTTCTTAACTTGTAGGTAGCTGATCCTCAAAAGGAGGCTGGGATATTCTTTTGGTTTCGGGGTCGTAGCCAGCTTACATCACCTTTGATGATGTCAAATACAGCATTTGAATAAGCTCCGTTGAACTTTCCTATAACTTCGCGACACCAATCCGTGCGAAGGCGTTTCCAGTCTTCGTTCAAAGTATGGGGAATCTATCAGGTACAAATCTCCCTGTCGCCTAAATGGTCGTGTACTGTTTCTTGTACTCGACTCATACCAATGCCTGAGCTCGCCCGAATCTGCCGGTAGGTCACTCTCTTATCTTTCTCTATTGCGTGGCACAGCACGATCACTTTTTAATAATGTGGGGTCCGGATACCTCACTCATCAGACGAAACGCAGAGGTGTGACACTACTACTTTACAACGGTCATCTGTGAGGTCGTGCTACTTACCTGGACGGACCTGCCCATTCGTTCAACAGCGAACTGTTGCGTAGTCCTACCACAGTTGCGACTAAGTAAAGACAGCGAAGGTCGTACTCTTAATAAATCATGGACCGAAGATATTCTCGCGTTAAATTCATTTAGTTTTTTTTTCTTGAAAGAGGAAAAGAGGAAAAGTTGCTTAGCGAGCAGACGGTTCACCTGATGTTAAGTAAATACCGCCGCCCATGGACATCTGCTACTCCCGAGGGTTCCAGATGCGTTGACAACCTTTTGAAATTGGGCTCCGGCCACCTCACTTACCAGACGAAACGTGAAAGTGTTATACTTCCACTTCACGCCGGTCTTCTGTGAGGTCGTGGTACTTACCCGGACGAGCCTGCCCATTCGTGCAACAGCCGAGGCTGCTGCGTGGCTCTACCACCGTAACAAGACTTGAGATTGCCGCCAATTCACAAATGTATGCAATATTTCTATCACATTATGTCAATAAAGAGGTAAGCAAAATTTAAAAAAAAAGTTTTCATTTGGCAATGGATCTAACTGGCCAGTTCTAAACACTTTCAGTGTCGCCTTGGTATAAAAAGAAGACAAAGAGCGGTGTTATTTACTTGTTCTTCGGGCACATTATGAAATACCGTTTCGTAACACGATATTCTGAAAGGAGAATCAATCGCCCAAACCAGCGTCAAATGCCGAGTCTTAACGCAATTCGCTTTGTTACAAGAGTGGGACGGTTGTAATAATAATAAATGAAACTTCAACCAAAAGTAAACTGTTTTAATACACGTAAAATGTAAAGATCCAAAACAATAAACACTGAACATCGTAAAAAGGACTAGACTTAATATACTATGCAAACATTTTATTATATATACATATATATATATATATATATATATATATATACTATTCTATATCCGTAGTATTTATTAAATATCAGTCAACAATATTTAATCCTAACCAAAAGGAAACGAAAAATACGAATGCAATTTTATATGAAACTATATATAGCTAAGATCATACAGTCTTAATAGTCCAATAGTCCACGGGTTCGATTCCCACACGAGACGATTGTTAATGTGACCGACAGATAAAACGTCCTTACAACACGGGATAATGATATCTTAGTGACGATATTCTTAACTTTTGGGTTAAGAAAAGAGTGAGTCCTAGCCACGCCTCCTGACCAATTAGGATTCACAAAATCATAAAGTCAAGTCAACAATTCAACATTGAGTGATGTGAAGGAATATTCTATGACCCAAGAAGTCTAATAGAGGCTGGAAGAAATGCGTGTTTGTCGCAACCATTGAGAATGAGAAGAAAAAACAATTTGGAAGTCATGGAAGTCGCAGAACAAGGTCTATTCATAAACGAAGGATACTTTTAATTAAACTGATTAAAATGTATTATTACTATTAATAATTATTTTATTGTAAAATACTTTGGTTGATTTTCAACCAATTAAACTTAATTTATTTAGATACAAATTGTTTGAATGTTTAATCCATTGTGAATACCTTTACGTTGTAGAAGCACTGATTACTGTTTTCTTAACGAGAATGAACTATAATAGTTCAATTACTATTTCACTAGGGCTTCGCACGGGTGCAATGTATTATACATATCCCTTCCTCTTGAATCACTCTATCCAGTAAAAAAAAAAAGGGATCAAGATCCGTCGCGTAGTTTTAAAGATCTAAGCATACATAGGGACAGACAGCGGGAGGAGTTTGTTCTACATTATTTAGTGATATCACATCGCAAAAACAATACAGCACAAGACGAGTTACTCATCATAACTCGTCGCAAAACGTGGAAGATTCTGGATAACTCCTATTGATGTACCGCCTCACGTTCCTGGCCCTCGCCGAAGCGACGCTGTCGAACACCCACTTGGAGGCGACTTGGCCCTCCTCCACACCGACCACTATTTCGCCCTCCGTCGCAACTGATCGTCCGTTTTGAATCAAACGCCGCTGTTGGCCGCCATTTTGGGGGACGCCGCCGCGTTCTATTGCATCGCCACGTTGCGTTTTGCCGCCATCTTGCATTCCGTCGCCGTCTTGCGTTATGTCGCCATCTTGCATTCTGCTGTCATTAGGCATTTTGCCTCCATCTTGTTGCCCGCCATCTCTCACGGCGGCGCCACAGAGCCTGAGCAGCTGCAGCGCCGCCGCCCGCTGCCCCGCGCGGGGCGAGACTCGAACCCGCATACCGTCGAACACGTCGTACGCGTATTCCGAGCGAGTCCTGCCCAGCGCGTTGCGTTCCACGCGCGCCCTCTGCAGGGGAAATTTTTCGAAATTGAAGCAGAAGTCAAGGGGAAATTTATACATTTTACGACTTAAAAATAATGTTTTGAATTTTTGTAAATGGTACGTGGTAATTGTACGCTCTGATTGTACGGAGGTTGCTTACACCGTACTGTACTAAAGCTACGTGACCGTAGCTAGTGCGTCGGCTTTGGATTAGGGTCGCGGGTTCGATTCCCACACAAGCATTCGTACTGCTCGCAAATTGTTCCGGATCTGGTTTTAAGTCTACAAGATTCTAGATTCTAGACTACGTAGAGATTCACGTGAAGACTAGATTCACGTGGCGTGATGATGGTTACCTGGGCAAGCTTCCGCAGATGAGGCACCTCGTAGCCGCAGTGGTGCAGCCAGCGCCCCGCCGCTGCGCTGTCCGTGGCCCAGTGGCCCAATAGCACGCGGCAGCCCCGAGCCGCCCCCAGCAGCGAGTTCAGGGTTCGATCCCTCCGCGACGCCGTCTTGCCTGCCGAGGTAACAGACGCTATAAAAATACGTTTGTATGTGACAAAGTGGCAAACGAGCTGGCGGTTCATCTGATGTTAAGTGATAACCGCCGCCCACGGACATTTGCAATACTCGTAGGGTTGCAGGTGCGTTGCCACCTCTTAATAAAGTGGAGCTCCGGCTACCTCACTCAACAGACGAAACGTAGAAGTGTAACACTTCTACCTCACGCCGGTCTTCCGTGAGGTTGAGGTAATAATCCGGACGTACCTGCCCATTTGTGCAACAGCAAACGCTGTAGCGTGGCCCTTCCACAGTTAAATATCTGTGATGTAATAACTTAACCCTGTCGAATATAGTTGCAAATCCGTGAGAGCAGCGCCTCAGTTGCCAAGGAAGCTTCAGAGCCCGGGTTCTTGGGTTCAATTCCCACAGGTTATTACCGGATCTGGGCATGGTCAAGAAGTAAATCTTCTTACTCCCTCTCTCTCTCTCTCTTCCATGCTATATATCCCATTTGGTGGTGAGATCAGATTTCCTCATTTTTATTCTCCACGTCGCTCTATCGTCGACACAGTCTTCGGGTACTCGACACTACAATGCCCCTGAGTGTCTATGCCCTACATCTTTCCATATTTTGGCCCTACCTCTGGACCTTTGCCCAGGCAGAGAAAGTGGTCAAATGACATCTCCAATATGTCCTCCAACATGTAATATAGTCGGTAAAATACACCGATTGCGCGTAAGTTCAGCCGCTTACTTATTTATTTAATATGGCTTACTAAAGTTTTAATAATTTTACGTAAGAAATTTTCCCGCTCATCTCTATGCTCTATTGGTCTAAAGGTCCTCGTTAATAGACCATAAAATCTGACAAGGAAATCCACGAGAACACAAAGAACGCTGGTTCTTATCTGTCTCGAAGGACCAAAAAAAACATATGTGTCTTCTACAAAATGTAAGTAGGTAGTTCATGGAGCAAGGTGTGCGCATGTATAATAAAATCCCCCAGTCAATATTAAGTCTGCCCCTTGATCAATTTAAACGCAAAATTGAAAGTAAAGTTATGGTTAAAGCCATTGCGGAATATCTCAACGACGCCAATGTTTGAAGTTAATACTGTTGATACTCACGTAGGCTAAAATAAGACTATTTACCTTATATGTATGTTATATTGTAAGCTAACCTTTTTAAAAAAGAGCAACGGTTGAGTTTCTTGCCGGTCTCTTCACAGCAGAAACTGCTTTCCGAACCGGCGGTAGTTTTATTACGAACTTATGTATAATTTTTATGTTAAAATCGATGTTTCATAAGGATAAAGATCTAGTAAAATATGAGACATATAAAAGTATATTTGAGTAAAGATGTTTTGAATTTGCGCGTACCAATGCACCGTTATGTCAATGTGGAATAGATGAGCTTATGTATGTCAATTGGTTGGCGTGTAAGAACGTCAAATAAATCCGACCGATGTCAATGAATGCCTTTAATGTACTGAAGATAGTAAAAATATAATAACGAACTAAAATATAAAACTGGGTTACGCATGCGAGCGTTTGCATGCGATAAAACGTTGTGTGTGCAGTTTTATGATACAATACAAAATGCTTTTCTTGTACACCTATTATCCTCTGTGATCTTACCTCTTTCGTCCAACTTCGCCGCCATATTGGAATGCGATGTTGACGCCATCTTTGATTTTCCCGCCAACGTATCTGTCTGTGCTATGTTATGTGTGTGCATTGTCGTATTTGGCGCCTTTTTTGGCGTTGACGCGACGCTCAATTTGCTGGCTAACGACTCTAAGCAAGTCATGTTTGATTTTTCCACTGTATCAGTTATTATTTTGCTTCTATCACCATACACTACTTCGTTTTCGTTTGGTTCTCTGTTTGTCACGTTGTTGTTTTTATTTGTCATATGAGTGCTGTTTAGGTTCTTCCCCGGGCTGATTTCGAGCGAGTCCTCGCGGCACGACCCGAGTAGGACGTGAGTGGTTTTCCGGTTGACCTCCTTCTGTATGCGGCCGTTCAAGGTTCGAATCGCGCGGTGAGCGGCGATACGCTCCGAGCGCGACATTCCCGTCAGTACCTGCAACGTAATGATCGCATATCGTATATAGCCTCCATTACAATAATATAGTTTGTTTAATACGTGGATAATGCAGTGGGCTGAAATATTATTACTACCTCAACGACAACAGATTTGATTATATCATATATTGTAGCTATTTGTTATCCCCCAATAAAATAAAATAAAACATCGAATAAATATTATGTGAATAATTATGAGTAAGTGTGATGTCTAGGAAAATTAAAAATCTATTTCATTGCGGAGTTCTGTTATTATAAAGCCAAATTGTATTTTGCCGCCGTTTTATGTTTTTATAGAAAGACATTTTTCAAGGTACTGGCTAGTTAAAAAATGTCAATTGTGAATCTAACGTCACCAGCCAATTTTAGCCTAACTAACTGCGATAGCATGAAAGGTGAGTTAGAAGGGGCAACGCATTTGCAATGAAACCCTACGAGTGTTGTAAATCGCAATGGGTTGTGGTCATCACTCAACATTAGGTGAATCGCCGTTTACTACCTTTTCACATGAAAAAAATTACAAGACCGATTGCGATACTCACGAATCTATACGCGTGCGCGTCCGTTGTAGCGTTTGCGTGTGCGTGCGCGTTTGCGTGCGCTTTTGCGTGCGCGTTCGCGCCGGCGGTGAGGATCCTGCGCGCCATGCGCTCTGCGCGCGCCAAGTCGCGCCTCTCGCGCTGCGTCAGCTGCTTCGGCCGGGCCGGGGTTCGATCCTCGTCTGGAACGAATGTAACTCTTCATGTCTTAGCGCCACGCGACAGTTTTTGTTTTAGCATGAATACCATCGTGATCAAGATACCTAGTGGGGATAAGATTTATAACAGATGCGTTGACAACCTTTTGAAAATTGGGCTCCGGCTACCTCACTCACCAGACGAAACGCGAAAGTATTGTACTTCCACTTGACGCCGGTCTTCTACGAGGTCGTGGTACTTACCCGGACGAGCCTGCCCATTCGTGCAACAGCCGAGGCTGCTGCGTGGCCCTACCGCAGAGTTAGATAAGGGGTCCACTTTAAAAGGTGGCGACGCATCTGTAACCCTGCGGGTGTTGCATGTGATCAACGGGCGGCGGTGATTCGCCAGCTCTGTTAATACATACCGGTTTCGTTGCTCGATCTCGACAGTTCTGCCTCCTTCTGTGTGAACAGTTTCCTTCTAGACTTTGCTGGAAGCGGGGACGCGCTGGTGGCGGGGAGGGCGCGGCGGGGCGCAGTGTTCACGCGCGTCTCCACGTCTGTGGAGTTGATTGTTGGGATATTGTATGTATGCGAGGATATTTGTAAAAGACAATACAGCAAAAGAAAAGTAACTGCCCTTAAGGGCAGTTACTTTTCCCACTGCTGGGCAGTCCTCTGCGCAGAGGGTATTACGGCAATGTCCACCACGAGCCGCACTGGCGGATTGGTGGATTTCCTTACTAACTTTTAGCTACCCTTCTTTAAATAGGCAAAGTTCATCAATTGGAAAAATTAAGGTTATCTCAATGTCGCGAAGGATCAACTGAATTGGAAGGACAAATACGTTTAAATTTCGTGTGAAATTTTTGTTTTCAAGTGAAGATTACAAAAACTAAACTGAACTGAAAAACTGTTGAAACTAAAAAAAAACCCTATAAGTGACGAAATCGTCGCAACCCACCGGGCTTGTCACGCGACGTGTTCGGTGTCGCGTCCGTGCTCGAGCCGCGCTCCGTCTCGCTCGAGATCCGAAGCCGGGGCCTCTCGGTCCGCTGCTCACCGCTGTCCGACAGCAAATCCGCCAGCGGTATGCCCTCCATGTCGGCTTTGTGCTGCAAAGCAAAATGGATCCGATTTAAAGATTAGAAAAATGGACAAAAAGGCGTTTGCCGCGAAAGCAATAAAAAAAAAAGATATTAAGTGTGGTGGGGCCACGCAACAGTGTTCACTGTTGCACGAATGGGCAGGTCCGCCCGGGTAAGTACCACGACCTCATAGAAGACCGGCGTAAAGTAGAAGTGTTACACGTCTGCGTTTCGTCTGGTGAGTGAGGTAGCCGGGGCCCACTTTATTTAAAGCTGGCAACGCATTTGCAACCCTGTGAATGTTTAAAATGTCCTTCGGCAGCGGTTATTGCTTAACTTAAAAAGTGGAAACAGAAAAGATTAAAAACCAAAAGAATGCTTTGTCCATATATTTACAAAATTCACAATTCAAACTTTCATCTTAAGTGCAGAGACTAGCACTAAAATAATATTTTGTCCTTAAATTTTAATAGCAAAGGCGACAAATGTTCATAGTTGAATGTTCTTTGTAGGGTGTTGAATGCTGTAAAAGATGTACACTAGATGGCGCCATGCGTTGCTAAAAGTATAATAAAATACCGTGAAGTAATCGGCCACTAAGCTTAGTTAAACTAAGGGGTCGATAACTTCACGGTCTCTCAGAGTCTCTGAGACAAAGTATATCGGCCTATTGTCATGGGGGCGTTTGACTCACCAGCATCCAGCGCAGTGTGCGCGGCGAGGGCAGGTCGGAGGCGCGCGCCGCTGCGGGGAACGCCCCCTCTGGCAGCCGCCTCCCCCCCGCCGCGCACCCCTCCACCCACAGGGGCGACACCAGCTGGCACGCCAGCGCCCTCGCGCGGGCTCGCGTCTCGCGGCAACCGCCTGCGGAGTGGCAGCCCTAGCGTACTGGTCTTATGTATTTTCGACAAGTTTCTTGTCGCTATTTGGAAATGTGGCAGCCCTAACGTACTGGCTCTATATATTTTTGACGAGTCCCTTGTCAGTATTTAGAAATGTGGCAGCCCTGGCGTACTGCCTCTATGCATTTTCGACAAGCGCTTTGTCGCAATTCGGAAAAGTGGCAGCCCTAGCGTACCGGCTCTATGTGTTGTTGTCTGTTGTGTTATGTATAAGTTTTATCACCTATTTTTAATGATGATTAAGACGATTCGAATACTAGATTTTTATATCAATATCGTAATGAGTTAAAAAAAATATTATAATTTTTAAACTTCTTAAATCTTTTTTTTAACTCAAATTTAAATCACTCTAGAATATCGGCAATTCACATATAATTTGAGAGTTATTTAATAAGTAATATGTATAGCCAAAACAACTTCGTTTCAACCGGGCGTCGAGTGACATTTCTCGTATTTTATTCTTTTTCAATGCGGCACCATGCATCAAATTGTGGCTAAAAACGTGAAATAGCCAGTTTTACATTACTGGGAGATAATTGTACAAGTTTCAACTCTAGGAAAGAGACAATCGGCTAATTTCGGATTCGTAGATTGTTAAAGTTATAAGTTTTTAGTCACCTCACCCAACAGACGATACGCAGAAATATAACACAGGTCTTCTGTGAGGCCAAGACATTGATAAAAGAATATAAGAGGATGTCACGTTAGGTCACGTGTGCTGAAGCCAAATGTTTCTCTAAAATGGCGTCGACGCCGCCCACAGCATATTTGCTTGTGTTGTTTTAATAAGCCCATATTGATATCGATATATTTATACCCATATTGATATCGATGACACGCAAAAATGTTATTAACTTTGCACACCTTTCTATTAATTCTCATTTGTCACCACTAGTTGAAGGGTAGGTAAAAACTAAAAAAAAATAATGTTAACCTAATGTAATAAGGTAATGTAAACTAAAAGTGGTATTTGCTATCAGCATTGTAACATAAAATAGGTTATTGTCATAAATCGTTAAATAAAATAAAAAAAGACAATTAGTATATTGATTAAAATCGTTTATTCATGGCGGAATAATATTAATTTTCTTTTTTCCATGAAACTAAATTAATTAACTAAATGAACTAAATTATGTTTCTTCAAATGGCCAATAGTGGTTTGGAAAGTGAACACCTTCTGCTTCTATATATCTTCTGATTCTATTTCTAAATCGTGTATTTTGGAAATTACATTTAGATACAAATGTAATGAAATATGCATAATATTTTTCGATCTTACCGACTTAATAATAAGAAAATATGAACTGATGTTTTTCACAAAAGAAAGAACTTTAAAAAAAAAGGGAATAAAATAACAAAAAAAAGAAATCGACAAAAAATTAAAAATAAAGAAAGTAATGATCTGGCATCGAAAAAAAAGTAAAAAAATAAATGTGTAAATGATCGTGACGCGAACCACGGCCGTCTATTTTGAGGCCGCCCGATTACCGACCGAGCTATTATGACATTTTCTCTTGCGGCGAAATTTACCTTCATATTCGAATTATATTTTTCATTCCCTGAAAACAGGGATAAAAGGACATTTTCTAAAAATGAAACCTAGCTAGATTGATTTTTCGCCCCCGAATCTACGGACATACTAAATTTCATGAAAATCGCTGGAGCCGTTTCCGAGATTCCGATTAATAATTCTTGTATACATATATATATATATATGTATACAAGAATTGCTCGTTTAAAGGATAAGAATTTGTAAATTACTACGCGTTAGAGTGAGAGAGATATGTTTTTGTAATTGAGGTGTATAACGAGAAATTGTATATGCAATAAAGGGCATATCCTCTTATATTCTTATATCAATGGGCCAAGACTGTTGCGTGGCCCTACCGCAGTTAAAAATGTTTGACAATAGACTATCATCTTTTTGACATTGACAATATGTACATATACAATGTATGTTGAATCTTTGTGTTTCTCAATATAATTATGTACATTCTCATACACTTCCGCGTGTATAATATTCTCTAAAGAGATCTGAGGCGAATAAGACAATAAGAATATAAGTGTAAACATTCCTACTGTACCGTGATCAGTCACCGAATGACAACGGCGCAAAATGCGTAAATATTATTATCAATTAATTAGTTATATATCAATGAAAGCTATCTCATTCCAAATAATAACCTTTTTAATACTTCTGTATCTTTCATTCCAACAAATTGTCAATAGATGGCATTGTCATACATTTTTTTATATGAAATTTAAAAAAAAAAATTATTGTTGGTAAAAAAAGAATTACAGGTAGGCCGGGAGATTGAGAGAGATATATAGCATATCTAAAATATGGCCTGCTTGAAATTCTCTCTCGAAAACGTTGCTAGCTCTTAAGACTATAATATAATTATACAGATAGGTTGTAAGTTTTTTCATGTAAAATCGGCTTGGTTATAATTTTGTAATAGGGATTGGGTAGTAAGTTTCAATGACCACAGCGACCTAGAATATCTATTGTAGACTTCCCTTCGATAATATTGTCCCGTACTGTGGTACATTGTCCTGTTTTGTAAGGACGTTTTACACACACAAATTTCACGCGAACAAACGCTCAGATCAGAAAGAGTCATCTTTGGGTTACACAAACAGTTGGCCCGCGTGGGAATCGAGCCCACGGCCCCCTGCTGAAGCCGTTTTTTTTTAAATTTTTTTATGTGAAAAAGAGGCAAAGGGGATGTCGGTTGCCCATGAACATTTGCAACACCCTTAGGGTTCCAGATGCGTTGCCACCTTATAATAAAGTGGGCCCCGGCTACCTCACTCACCAAACGAAACGCGGAAGTGTGACACCTCCACTTCACGCCCGACTTCTGTGAGGACGCGGTACTTCCCCGGACGGACCTGCTCAATGTGCCCAAATACTGTTGCGTGGCCCAATCGCGCCACGGTACGCCGGAGTCCACTTACCCTGGGACCAGACGAGGTGCGTGACGAGGGGGCTGAACGTGGGCGCGACCGTAGCCCCGAGCGCGGCGAGCGCAGCCCTAAGCGCTAGGGCGCGGGACTCCGCCCCCATGTCCACTAGCGCCACCACGCCGCGGAGCACCTCGTTGGCCGCCATCGCGCGGGCGAACTGAACGTTTTTTGTGTAAGAAAAGGACAACCGCCGCTTACCAATAGGCAAGGTATAATAATTTATACTTCAGAGACATTTTTACACAATGTTATCTAGCCCCGAACTAAGCAAACTTTGTACTACGGAAACTAGGTAACTGATAAACAATACTTCTTAAAAGTAATTTTCTTGCGTAAGTATACAACACACTGGAAAAACACTATGTTCATCACACAATATTTTTCCAGCAGTGGGAATCAAACCTAAACCCTCTGGCGCAAGAGACAGGGTCACTTTCCACTACGCCAATTGGTTCGTCACATATAGTCGTAATAAAAATATATAATCTGTACCTTTATTAGAGTAATGCTTTAGAAAATTAGATTGGTGTGATAAAACAAGAAATAACTTTATTTAAGTTACTTACGATGGGTTAAATATTATAGAAAATAAATTTCTACTCACTCTGGCATTCTCCATTCCAATTTTAGGCCCTATTTTTTTCTGTTCTCCGATTTCATGCATCCGTCTATTGTCCACCTTGACATTGTCCGATACTTTCTTCAGTACATTTCTCCGCTTGTCTCTCACATTGGCAATGCATTGTACATCGTCAGTTCCTTTTAGAGCCAACCACTCCTCTCTTAAACGTATCCTTTCTGCTATAGCTGAACGGCGCTGGAACATGGAAATGGAACATGTTTTTAAATAGAAAATATTGTTAAATAGAAAATATGATGACTCCATGGCGCAGTTGCCAAGGTATGGGCGTCGGCGACGGTGTTCGTGGGTTCGATTCCCACACGGACAACTATTTGTGTGATCCACAGATAATCGTTTCTGGTCTGGGTGCTTATCCACTTGAAATTTATGTATGTACAACAACGGATGTTATCCTACAGTAAGGGCAATGATTTTAAAAGAACAATAAAAACAAATTTTGAAAGCTTAGCAACCTTTATTCATTTACCTTTATAGATATTTTTAAGCCTATTTGTTATTGTTCAAGCTTTGTTTTGAGAAGAAAAGAATAAAGTTATCTGTTTGTTCACTTGTTCATATTATTGAATGTTATTGTCACATCATCTGCAAGAGGTAAAGTATAGATTCTAACTAAAGGAATCTCTGAAATACTCTTGAGTGATTTCTAATAACAATTTAATTAACTATTAATTAAGCGATTTTATAAAATTGCTCCATAATGTACAGCAATGAAAAGAAATTATCATATTTCTGTAACAGTGATGTGTTAGGATGTTCATAAGAGCTATGAGTAGAAATAAGCCTTAGTCATTAGGAACTGTTAAAAGGGTGGTGAATTTTTTATAATTATTCTATTTTATTAAAGAATGGCCCTGAAAGCAGTGACATCAAATAAATAAATAAATAATAAACCAAAAATAATAATAATGGCATACATTGTCTGAATTTTAATTTTATATTAATAACACACATTACAACAGGATGGTGATGGGTGGTAAAAGATGTGAAGTTTTATTGCCTAAATATATGCCTCTTGGAAAGAGTTTCTCTGTAGAAGGAAGGATTGTTATACTTCTATTTTAATAATTTTACAATTTTTTTTGTATTGAATTTTTATTTAATTCCTCAAATTTTGAATCCATTATAATATTCATAGCCAAAGGATAACCTGAGATGTTTCTTCATCCAAAATGTCATTCCAATCATAATATTAAGATGACTCCACAAATACTGAGCAACAACAGAAAGTTAAACAAATGCAAGCTGCTTAGCTACTCCTTTTAATATCTGCAATGCAGTGAAAGGTTATTTTTAAATAATCACTACATAGTATAAAACAAAGCCATCCCGCTGTCCGTCTGTACCTATGTATGTATGCTTAGATCTTTAAAACTACACAATGGATCTTGATGCGTTTATTTTAATTAGATAGAGTGATTCAAGAGGAAGGTCTTTATGACCTGAAGGTCATATATATATGTATAATGCATTGCACCTGTGCGAAGCTGGGGTGGGTCGCTAGTGACCAATATATTAGAAAGATTATTATTTTTTTCACAATAAACAGGACAGGGGATATTATTGTTAAGTCCAAACTTACCAGTCCAGCTGCACTTTTGTTATTCTCTTTATTCATAGTAAACTTGGTCTGGAATGGAAGAAATGTAACAGTGAATTTCAATATACTCCACATAGTATTCTACCGGTGATTTAATTTTAAAGGCACTTCGCACAAAAGTATAGTTCCTATTAAAAATACATGATGTAATACCTTTTAAATTTCTGATCTTTCAATTTCATGCAGTTTAATAAACATGGCTTTCAAGTAATTGTTACTTACTTATTAGTTAACAATTAATAACGGTTTCAATATTCCATCTACAGATCGAATTGGTCACTAGCAATAGGTATTTGATATTCGCTCCATGATACATTTACTGGAGATAGAATTATGGGGTAAACCATAATTCTATCTCCAGTAAACCAAATTAATCTGTAGATTGAATTGAAACCGGCCTTAAGTTATCATAGAAAGGTTTTATTTAAACATCTCTTTAACAAAGTTAAAGCTTTAACTACTTGTGTGTCAAACAATTTTGCCTGCATTAAAAATTTAATTCACTTTGCTTCCATAGCATGCTGCGTGTTGGATTTCTTCTTCACTGATTAAACATATGGGTGCTTTGAAATAGGTAATTAATGCCTTATTTCTTAAAACATCTGCTTTGTGCAGATGTTTTAAGAAATAAGGCATGTTTTTACTTTGTTGGAGGATACAGAGATGCAATGAAATGTTTCTCTATCAATTAAAAATATCTGTAAGTGAATAACATTGAGGGCATGGTTCCTTATTATAAAGTACAGTACTACATCAATTGTATTAAGAATTTATATAGATAGAATAATAGATAAAAGCATAGTCAAAAGTTATAAATAGTGAATCAATCAAGTTTGAACTCATAGATAAGACATATATACTGAAACTTTGAACTTGTGAACACAAACTTACCAAAAACAACAACAAATAGGATGCAAAAATATGTATAAATGTAAAACATGTATAAGTAACTAAGTTGCAATATTTCAAAACAAAGGGCAACTGTGCTTTGGTTTATTTACGTATTGTGGCTGTGTACACTAATTCTCTTTTAATTTATTTCATGACCATGCATAATTTGATACAGAATACTGATGTGTACATTAAAATTAAAATTCGTTCGATGATTAAAGTTGCAGTGATTAGTGGTGAACGTAAACGTAGTGATTACATTCTCTTTTGTGAACTGAAATTGAATTTTTTTTTTTGGATTTTATGGCCGGGTATCAAGGACGTTTAGGCCAATGAAATTGAATTGACATTTGACATATCGACAACAGACAATACAGACATACAGACATTACAGACAACTGAAAGATGACAGAATGTGTAATATTATTAACATGCAGAGTTGCAAATATTCAAAACCCTATTATAGACAAAGAGCCTATTGTAACCACTACGTTGATATTAACTATTTCCTACAAATCTTTTTGGAGACGCGTCGGTTTAGACGTTTTTGGGGAATCAAGGGCAAGGTTTAAAAAAAGTTCAATACAATGTTATGAGAATACATAGAAAAATATGTTTGTTTTATAGAAAAATAATTATGTTTACTTTTGGTTCACACCTCGTTCATTGTTGCACACGTTAAGTAGTAATAGTATAGTAGGTAGTAATCATACACCTTTACTACGCTAGCGCGATTTTGGTCACTTTTTACACTAAATATATATACTTCTAATAATGCATTTAAATATACAAAGCATAAAGTCAAAACTAGATCAGCTTGAAATATTGACAAGTGAAAGAAGTATTGACGTATGCTGCTTTAGCGAAACGTTCTTAAATAATTACGAAGTCGATATACTACAATTAGAAGGCTATAAAAAAGCTGCGCATTTCTGTCGTAACCAAAAAAAAAGAGGAGGGGTAGCCATATACGTAAAAGACTCGGTTAAGTACCGTGAATTACACTGGATATCCAAAATGTCTATAGAAACTCACTTTGAATGCTGTGGTATAGTAATATGCGACTTAAATTACCTCATAGTATGTGTATATAGAACACCAAATAGCAACTTAGATATATTTTTAGTAAATATGGAATGTTTACTTCGTAAATTTAGTACAAGAATAAGAAATAATTTCAAAAATATCTTCATTGTGGGCGATTTTAACGTCAATATACTTGAAAAGAATAACAGAAGTGAATCATTTCTAAACATGTTCAGATTATATAAACTACAAGCTACAATAACAGAACCAACAAGAATTAAACCATATTCAAAAACATGGTTAGACAATATCTTCACAAACATAAAACAGTATGACGCAAAGGTGCTAGACATCGGCATATCGGATCATACATGTCAACTCATATCGATAAAATGTAATATGAGCTACAGAGAACAGTGTTGGCATATATTGAAAAGATATCCAGAAATGTACTCTGACATATTTTTAAAATATATATCTCAGATAAAATTTACAGATGTTTATTTACAAACAGATAGCAACAAAGGGTATGGTATATTTATTGATATATTTACACTTATCTTTAACCTTTGCATACCAGTAAAAAAGTTAAAATTACATATAAAAGAAACCAGAATTGGAAGACCAAAGGAATAGTGGTAGCAAGTAAAAACAAAAGATTTTTATATTTACAAACAGGAAAATCAAATGAAAAAAACATTATAAAATGTACAAAAATTACTGTAAAATTATCAAATTGGTGACTAGACAAGCGAAACATGATCATAATATTAACTATATTAATAAATGTACTAATAAAAATAAAGCTACATGGCACATTATAAAACAAAACACGACTAAAACCAATATCATTAAAGAAACAATGGAAACAATAATAAAGGATAAAGTAATTATTGACAAACCTTCTGAAATAGCTAAAATTGTTAATGACTATTTTATAAACCTTAACAATGCTATAGATGACATTTCTTATAAACCAATGACCCAACCAAATCTGAATAGCATTTTTATTGCACCGGTCAATATTTATGAAATAAAAAGTGTTGTGAAAGGAATAAGCAATAAAAAAAGTATTGGCCACGACAACATACCCATACAAATAATAAAATCAAGCATTGATTATATAGCCGAACCCCTTGCCCATATAATAAATTTAACACTGGAAACAGGGATTTTTCCTGATGACTTAATAAAGACACAAATAAAGCCAATACACAAAAAAGGCTCTAAATATGAAATCAGTAATTATAGACCTATTGCGTTATTACCTAATTTTGCTAAAATATTTGAAAAAGTTATTTTAAAAAGGTTTATGTCATTTTTAAATGCAAATAATGTACTATCGAAAAATCAGTTCGGTTTTCAAAAATCGAAAAACACAACTTCGGGAATATTTAAAATGTTACAGCAAATATGGAAAGATATTGATAAGAAAAAAACATCTATTGGACTATTTTTAGACCTGTCCAAAGCATTCGACTGTGTTGTACACAACATTTTATTTAAGCAACTAGAACATATTGGAATCCGTGGAAATGCGTTAAAACTAATTGAATCCTGTCTTACAAACAGACTTCAAACTACAGTCTTAGACACATATGACAAAGCGTCAAAAATGATTGTAAAAGTTCAATCAAGCTACGAGAAAATAAAACTGGGTATTCCTCAAGGTAGTGTATTGGGACCATTATTGTTCTTGATATATATTAATGAATTTCCTTTAATTATTAACCATCTATGTGTAATGTTTGATATGATTTAAAGATCTTACCAAAGTCTTTCTCGGTCTTACAGAGATCTTTAAATTGCAGAGCGCAGGCAGTTACGAAATAATATACTAACACACTTTTATAATGTAGAATTTATTACGCGGATGTTTTTAGAATTTTATCGAAATCACAGTTTTTTCTATTTTGTTTTACTAAACTACAACTAACTATTTAAAAGTTAACTTAAGTAAGACAAAAATTATACAATTTACTAACTATAAACAACTACCGCAAGACGTAAACATTATTATTGACAATAACAGAATTGAGCAAGTGAATCAAATAAATTTTCTAGGTGTTAACATTGATAGGCACTTAAACTGGAAGTCTCACGTCGAAAAAATTAATAAAACAATTACTAGTGGATATTATGCTATCTCTGTTATGAGAAATGTAAGCTCTGCAGATGTTGCTAAAAATACTTATTATGGATATGTTTACCCACTATTGACATACGGTATTATATTTTGGGGAAACTCAGTAAATGTAAATTCCACATTCTTGTTACAAAAGAAATGTATAAGGGCAATATACAATGTAAGTGGTAAGGACTCTGTAAGGCCTATATTTATCAATAATAAGATCTTAACCCTGACATGTATTTACATACTAGAAATCTGTTTATTTATCAAAAATCATTCTGAATACTATATAAAGAAAAGAGACACAAAACAAAATCTTCGATCGCAATATAAATATGACATTTGTACTATGCCTTGCTCGAGTTATATATATCAAAAAAGCTCCTACATTACTGGTATTAAGATTTATAATTATTTACCCGAATCAATAAGATCACTTCATGGTGTACAGTTTAAAAGAAAACTAAAAGAATGGCTGATATGTAATTGTTTTTATAATTTAAATGAATATTATTGTAGAACAGAATAATACTTTAATTATATTATTAACATTTCTCTTATTGTACGCCCGAAATGGGCAAACTGTTGACACAAAAAAATAATGTAATATGTAACACCTATTGTACACAGTTAAGACAATAAATGATTAAAAAAAAAATTATCTTTAAAAGTAGGTAAAGTCTAAAAAAACAACACGTGTCAACCTAAACTTATTCTTTCGCAATATTTATTCAAACAAAGTAATTGCAAATATATTTACGAGTATAATTAACAAGTCATGTTCATGATTAAAAAGAAAAAGTAGATCACTAACAAAATTATATGAGAAATAGCAAAATAAAAATACCGAATAACATTATAATAACTCCGCGGCACAGTGGCTAAGCTAATAGCTTCAGTGCTGGAGGTTTGTGGGTTCGACGTGCGACCCACAGATAATTGTTCCGGATCTGGGTGTTGAATCAAAGGA